AGTATTAAGAGAGACATTATAGAGACATTTCTTCAAGTTTATACTAAAACTATATGTGGTTGTGGTAAACATATTAAAGTGGTTCCGTAGAACATTGTCTTTTATTCTAAAAAAGGACAAACGGGGTCGGCCTACTAACAGATCCTCCGATTGCAGTAAACGTAATTAGTACCTAGGTTTTATTTATTGTGAAATGAATTCATAGTTGAGTTTAACCCGTAGAGTGCCCGTCTCGTGAGGTTTCAGTGATTGTAACTCTTCTATCTCTTTTCCGGGTTGCAAATAAAGCAATAATAGCCTGGCTATTGAATTGAAGCTGCTGCTAGACCAGCGGTAAGCTGTTCTCCCGCGTACTGGTTACGGCTACAGAGTGCAGGTTCGATCCTTACATTGATGCTGTTCTTTTTGTGTTTATTAAAATTTCTAATTTTACAATACCTACGTATAAAGTTTATAATGTTCGAGATAACCACGGAACTCTCAGGTTATTTTATTTGATCCGTTTATGAAGTAACTACCGACAATCTAAAATATTTTTTCAAATACCCCACATTATAAAAAGATTGTGTTCTTAGTTGTCAGTCTTCGAGTATTAATTAATATTATCTAGAAACTACATAATATTGTCAACCTTATTAATACAGAGATAACATTCATAATTGTTAATCAATGTGAACAAAAACTTTAGTAGATAATATCTGAATAATGATGTTATCGCAATTCGGTTTTTTATCCATTAATAGAAATATCAGAGGTTTAGAGGAGACAGTGAAAATTTCACTTTACTTCTCACTTTGGTCGAAATAAATCTACCTAAATAGTCATTTCATTCATTCATTCGCCATAGGTACTTTTATTTTTTATTTTCAATTTCTATCCTATTGTTTACATGTTTGCTTATTTATTGGATATGAAACCACTTATTTGTAAATAAGTAAATAAAATCTGATAAAAATAAATAATAATAATGTTTTATTTACAAGTCTAAGGTTGGGCTTTAGGGTCTGTATATAATATAATAGTAGGTATATAAGCATCAATATATAAAGTGTAAGAAAGACACATATAGTTATATATTGATTTCATTATTTACATATAAAGATTATTTGTAAATTTTAGTAATTTATTTTTATGTATTAAATTTCTTTGGATAAATAGACATTACAATAAATATATTATAAAGGTAATCTATTGTTATATGATAATAAATGAAACGAGTTTTGAAGTAATGATAAAATTGTAATATATTCTACATAAAAGAGATCATTTACATTTATATTCTTACTTACCTACATAAAAAATTACTTACACATCAGCCGATTTCAGTCGATATTTGAGATATATTACGACCATTTGAAAATAGGGCCTCAATATAAAGGAGATACTTCGACTACCTTGTGGGTTACCAGGGCTCTGGCTTGAAGCATGAGCAGAAGCAGAGCCAGAGTCTGACACTTTCAAAACCTTACCCAAGTCGAGAGAAGTCATTTGATGATTGTAAATGTATTTAGTACATATTTGCTGAGGCCAAGTTTAATGTTTATCGAAAGCGGGATTATTAACCTAAAGGTATATCCCAAATACCTACATAAATAATCTCGCTACACGGAAAATAAATTATGTTAAGCTGGGTACTCACTTAGCAGTGCTGCGCGTAACAGATACGGTATCAACCTGCAAGTGGGTACGGCTCGTCTACGGTTTTCGTATCTAGCTACGAGCTGCCGGATCCGCAGTGCTCGCAACGATGTCACGTCGAATTAGATTTAAATTAGAATTAATTTTTCTTCACTTCACTCCATAATGAATAATTGAATACGTAAAGTTCGTTTGAAGTATACAAGCGGTCGTGACGTCGTCCACGAGCACACTCCGAGCCGCCTTTGTGTTCGCAGTGAAACCGCCACTCGGCGGGTCACTGCAAGCTTACAACGCTCCACGCGCGAGCTGCTCGCAGCGGGCTCGTGCCTACGTACTCACTTCATACCGTACCTGATACAATACGTGCTACACTGCTAAGTGAGTACCCAGGTTTAGACGAAATAAGTTTGGGAACCTCAGGGGAGTTCGAAGATACCAACCTGTGCGCCATCCACGCTAAACGTGTCACCATCGTGCTCAAGGACATCCAGTTAGCGCGTAGGATCCGAGGTGAACGCGCTTAAACACCAACAGTGCAGGCCACGCGCGCACGGTGCGACTCAAACACTACCACA